CATGTGAATATGACTGAAAAATTTCATTTTTTCTGAAAATGTGGTGTCTATTTACTTGTGACTACTCAGTGTAGGTATCAAATATCTATGCAATTTCAACTTTTGATTACTGAACTATTGATATTTTAAAATTACACAAAAACAGAAAAAAAAAAGGATACTTGTGGAGAAGCTTGAAGAAACCAGTTCCTAGTGACATGGGTATGCCCAAGATTATGCACTCACTGACTCCAGTAATGGCATCCTTTTGACCAAAGTAGGCAGCATCAAACAGATGGTCAGCTGTTCTTTCAAACTTTAAAAACATTATAAGTAAATTGTTAAAAATGAATTATGCTTATTTAATTACAATGTATATCTAACCACAACACATTAAATATAGTACACATAATCTTCACTTTATGAAGGTTCAAGTGTTCCATATAAACTGTTTTAAGAACGATTACAAGTAGAAATGTTTTTTGTTTTACAGGGAAATGTAAACTGTGAAGTAGAAAAAATTCAGAAACAGAATATAAAAGCTGATTTATTCTCTTAGCTTATAAATATTATCACCACAAAATCTGTGAACAAATAACCTGACAACAATTTTTATCCTGGATTTTTTCCAATAAATAAATGTATATCTACAGACAGACGCATACACACACGGTTAGAAATCTTACCGAGGCCAGCATCAGTGCACTCTCTTTCATTTTGGCCAAACCAAATCGGGTAATACCTAATACTTCACCCTAGTAAGATAAAAAAATCTTAAATAAGAACTCATTTAAAAAGAAATAACAACTATCAATTTTCTATACTAACAAAAAGTCAGCTTAAGTAAAAAAACCTTCTGTTAAACACAATCACAAAAAGTTAATGTTAAAATTATCTGAATATATTTTGAGTATCAAGTAATTATTGGAAAAAAATTATGTCTGCTATCTCTACACAGTCACTGATAACTTCAGAAATATATAAAAGACAAAATCAGGTAATGAGTATACAGCAGGGTTGAATCTTATGAGAATTTCCAAAGTTGGAGGTGGATATTCCTCTCTTTGTGCACTAATGCTTTCAACAGATCAAAGTACTAAAGGCTTCAGACTGGATCGACTTCCTGAAGGCTTTAGATAATGAAGTTCATTAAATTTATGCATCAAGCTATTATGTAAACTTAAGGTTAAAATCCGAGTTATTATTTTACCAAAAAACAATAATTTTGTTTATCTTTTTAAAATTCTGACTGATAAAATGCTTGTTTTTTAAAAATATATACTTTTCTGTAGATACTAAAGTCAAACCATCAAAGTTTACACTACAAAAATGTTTTTAGTTAGGCTTAAAACGTCATAGGAGGTATCAGTATAACAAGGACAGATTCAGACCATCTTTTTAAAGATAACATTTACAAATCTATCTTGTATTAACATTATGCTTCCCATCATAATTTCTTTGAAAAGTCAAAATAAACTGTAGCAACACAGCACAGTTGTAGAAATAAAACAAACTATTATTGTTAAAATTTCAAAACAGTTATATCATCTAATATAAGATTTAACTAAACATACAAATATCAGCGTTTTAGAAGAATATAAAGTATCACCTTTCAGAACTTAGAAATCTAATATTAAAAAAAAAAGTTGTGTGTGTATGAAAAAGTGATGACATTTTAAAACAAAAGTCAAATTTATCATTTCTAAGAAAAGTTTTGAGTAAAATCACAATTATTCTATATAACTGGATATTTTTAATTGGCATGTAAAATTGATTTTTCATTTTAAAAACAGAAACTTCAGTTCATTACTGAAGTATTATTTTAAAAGCGGTGCTACTCAGTTGAGTAAATGCAACATATAAAACAAAAAAATAATTTAAGAGTGTAATTAACTGATAAAAAATAAAAATAATTTAATAAGTAAATCATAATATGATAAAAAAAGAGATGTTTACTAATTAGATGCCTCATATACCAACTCGATTTATCTTTCAATAGAGTAACTAAAAAAATTATCTCATAAAAATCCTTTTTTTTTACTACAAGGCATGTATTGTGAAAGTAGTCACAATTCATTTGTTGCTTTTTTTGGATACTCATGTAAAGCTACACAAGAGGTGTTTGTACTAGCATTCCCTAACTTTGAATTTATAGACTAGAAGGAAGGCAGCTAGTCAACAAAACCCACTGCCAACTACTGGGTTACACTTTTTTGACCAAATAGTCATAATTCATCACCACTTTTAGTAAGCTATATAAAAAGTCCATTATAATCCATGTTGCCAAATCTGTTCATACTCCACCTGACCACAATGTGTCTTGACAATAGTGTAGTTCCTAGGCAAAAGGCTCCATCTCAAGGTTGACATTTTCAAGTGAATTGCTTACTTACATATTCAAAATCATCTTAATAAGATACGCTTAGCCCTTATAATGCACTCACAGTCTTATTGCAGTGTGATTTTGTACCAAACAGAATGCAAATCATGGACCTTCAGATTCACATTCCGGGGTGCTAATTGCTAATATATGCATGGCTCAGTCCAACAGTAATTGAAACACAATCAGTGTGACAGTCACTTGGTATGAATGCCAACTTAAGCCTGCCAACAAAATTTTTCACACATATTAATTTTGCTTCAGTTTTTCTTTTACATCTTATATCTCAGCTATGATGTTTCATCATCATTCCTGATTAATTTGTGTTTGTTCAGCTTCATTGATTAGTATTAAAATTTGTGAAAATAATTAACTAATGGAATTTAGTGTTTCAGATAATTATTATTTTCAATTACTTCAACTATCCAAGTAATCAAAATATTGCCATTAGATTTGTTTTTAAGCACAGAGCTACACAGCTGGCTGTGTTCTGTCCACCAATTTTGAGTGTTATGAGTTATTTTGTTTTTATATCTCATGTGAGAATAATTAATCAGTTGCATTCAAGTAATTGCTTTGTTTTCTTTGGTAAGCACCTGTTATATATAGAGAGGAAAAATATATTACCACTTGATACAAATAGTTGAGAAACAGAACAAAATCCATCAGCAAAACATATCATGCTAAAATTAACTTTTATTTTTTAACAAAATCAGAAGAGGTTTAACCTTGAATGTCATAAGATCAGCCAACAGCATAAGATGTCGCCTATCAACACTGATACCATGATTTTCCATTGTGTACCGAATTTCTTTAATAATTGTGGCTCTGAAATTAAAAAAACATAATACACTTTAGCACATTAAATTCTGTGACAGGCAAAGAGTATTGGACAATTGATTGAGGCATAATGTAAATGATAATAATGATAGGACTTAAATACAGAGTATAGGACAACTGACAGGAGCATAATGCGTGTTAAGAGTAACTGACTTGGGAATAATGTAACTATGGCACAGAGTGTAGGAGTAATTGATGAGGATAATGCAATTAAGGCAGAATGATTGAATGGGGAATATGATACAGTGTTGGAGTGCCCGACTTGGACATATTATTAGAGTGACTTACTGGAGAATTGTGTAATGAACACAAGTCTTAAAGTCATTTCACTGTGGTATAATTAATACATACTTTTGGTGTGAATGATGGGGGTATAATGCAATTAATGCACAGTGTTATTAGAATGATTAATGGGACATAGTGATGAGTGCCTGCCTGGGGTATAATGTATTAAGTTAAGGCACAAAGTTTTGTTGTGAGTGACTAGGGCATAATTTAGTAATTAATATCCAAAGTTTTGGTGTTACCAACTGCAGCATAATGTACTTGTAGTAAGATGAAATAGGGTGACCTATTGTAGTATAATGTAATTAAGTCAGAAAATGCAGGAGTAACTGACTGAAATATAATGCAATTAAGGGACAGTACTGGAGTGATTACTGGGAATAATGTATTTAATGATGCACAGAATGTTGAAGGAATGACTGGGAGGATATTGTTGTTAAGAGACAGTGTTGGAGTGATTGTATGTAACCAAGGCAGAGAATGTTGGAGTACTGATTGGGGACATAATGTAGTTAAAAAACAGTTGTAGAGACTGACTGGGGCATAATATAATTAAAGCACAGAGAGCTGGAGTGACTATCTGAGGCACAATTATTTTGGTTATATTACAATAAAAATTTCCCTGTAGATACAGAAGCTACTAAACATATAATATAACAATAGACTGTACGAGCAGAATGCTAAAAATTGTAGTAAACAGCCTCATAATATAAATTATCTAGAAGAGCCCACTGACCAAAAGTAAATCACAGTTAAGAACAGACAGACTTTTTCTCATTGTTATGTTATTGTAAAATTAACTTACTTAGAAATGCTGTGTATAAAGTAAAAACACTAAAATAACTGTAAAACAATATATATATATATATATATATATATATATACAATTATTTATAGAGAGTTTTAATATCTAACTTGACAAATAAATCTATGAAGCTCAAAGTTGTAGAAAATTTATAATGTGTTTATTTCCAAAGATGAGACAAGCATTATTCCATTAAGAGTGGCACCAAAATTGTCAGAATCTAGTGAAATAGTAGCATTTAAGTTTAAGATGCAAATATTTCCTTTCTTACTTTAACAAGACTTGTACAACTAAACATTATTTAAATTAGTTGAAAGCACTCATAAATCTATATTTTCTTTAGGAATTTTTACTAGGTATCTTCAATGATGAAAGAAACAACTTTCAACACAAATGCAGAAATTTTTACATTTCACAAGATGGACTTTTCTATTACTGTATGTGAAATTTACAGAAAAAAATAACAACAAAATGATTAAGTCTAGATCAGTGGTTCTCAAACTTTTTGGTTTCTCATGTTTCTTTTGCTAAAATTGTTTTTAATATTTAGTGCACCACAGTGGGATCTATATATTATGCAGCCTATTCCTTTCTATAATCATGCAACCTTTCCACGGACCACATGAAAGGACCTTTTGAACCACAGATTAGGAAACACTGGTCTGGTAATCTACTGTAAAATGTTGGTCAGTGTGACTCACCTTAAAAGTGTGAAACAATGTGTACTATAACTCTGAATTTACTAGTGTATCTTTAGAAAATCTGACAAGCTTTTTTTTTATAAACATTTTAAGTCCGTTGTATACAAAAAGGGAAATATTTTAATGAAGTACTTATACTAAAGATTTGTCTGTGAATTTACAAAGCCTTTACTGAGTGAGAAATGATTTTCATGCTAAGAATAAAAAGTTTTTTTTAATAGTATAATTTTCATATTTCATTGGCATAACCTCTAACACATTCTAACTGAATATCAAAAGTTTTTGCAGTAATTTAATTTTAATTTTACCCAAACACTAAATGTAGAGAAATCATCAAAAATATGATATAAGTAATACATTTTTTTTTCAATCCATCACGTCACCAGGTCTATTTAATTACTTTCACACTTTCAATTGTTAACTTTTTCACATCTGTCTTCTTTCAATTTTAAGGTTTTATTGCCAATCTTTGTACCCACTACATGTGTGAAAATCAATAAATCACAGCAAGTTGTTCAAGGCAGGAATTTTACATAAAAGCTTATGATTCAACATGAGATGGTGTCAAATTTCATGTGTGCAGGTGATCACACAATATGCTAATGTAATTCAAGACATTCTATTTTAATCAGATAAACTGAGAAGTTTATAATTCTTAAGTTTTAGTTACTTTTGTTTTAAAACAAATACATAAAGAAATATACACATACATATAAAAACTTGTTGAGTGCAAGTTGAGGCCATTTTTGCATTTGGATGCTGTGGTTCAGTAATTCTACATTTTTTGCATTATGTTGGTTGTGAAAAAAAAATTCATCTAGCTTTTAAATATGTATTTACAACACAAAATATATAAAACAGTAGAATAGAATCCCAAACTACTGTAATTCATCTGGCTTTCTAACTACGTTATAAATAGTTTAAAAATCTGTAAGTACCTGGAGAAAAGAACTACAATCATTTCCACTAAATAATAGTTTACAAAGGAAATCTAAATGATTCTATTGGTTATAAAAATATCCATAAGCCTAGTAAAGACTATTAACAAAATTGTTTAATTACGCATTGAATGTACCTCTATAAAAAGTTGTGACACTTTTATACTGCTGTACAAAAAGTTAGTCCACCTAAAGCACAATACTTATTTGACAATTGAGTCACATGATTAGTTAAACAGGTGTCCTTTGCTATAGAGAGGCCCTTTTAATAAACTTTACATGTTAAAAAACAAAAACAAACTTGTAAAATATAAAAGGATCATTTTCTCTCTTACCGAGCAGCTTCGATCCCTAATGTTTTTTCGACTTCACAGATGTTATTGGATGAAGTAGCAGTCCCCTTCACACCTGATAAAATAACAAAACATATCTATCCCTATACATATATTTGGAATGTACTTTTAGACAGATATAATTGATTATGTTTTGCCTGAATACTGAATATTCAGTTGTGAAATAGTTGCTATATTTATTTGGGCAAAAAGTTTCATTAGTTTTACAGGGCATATAAGTAAATATAAACATGATTCTCGAAAAATGTAAACAAATTGCAGACTGAGTAGAATACAATAAAAATACTTTAACATAATATCAAATAATAATTCCATGTGGCTATTCATTTTGTTATTGGCTCTGTCTAGTGATAACACTTGCCAATAATATTTGTTTATGGAGAGAAAATTATTTTAAGAACAGCTTAGTCTTGTTTGGACATGTCCAATGCTATATTGAATCTCAACCTGTAATATGTTGTGCAACATAAGCAAGTTGTAACATGGCATCAGTTGTCTTAGAAATAGCTAGAGAAAAAAAGACATGTATAAACTTATCATTTGCATTAAGAACACATATCTTTAACACAAAAATACAAAATCCTATAATCCAAGCATTTTTAAAAGGTGAACCTTTCTTTGTCAGAGGTAAAACTGCCAAAAACTATCAACTTCACAGACACAATAATTTCAGAAGTTGTCCCAACTGAGGCCATTCTTTCTTGATATCTGTTGAAGGTAACTCAAGAAACCCTGGACTGGAAACAATGCAAACATTCTTGAGAGAAACACTTGAAGTTAGATTTGTTAGAATAAAATAAATCCATATTTCACCTTAACCACTTTGTTGGATCTTTGCATTTTTCAAAAAGTAAGAAAATCAAGCAGTAAAACAATTTGGTTGTAGATGACTCCTCACCATTAGCACCAACACCTGTTAAAGCTTTATGCAAGAGGCACATGATTCATTTGGAATCACTACAGTGAAGTATCCACAGCAACTTGTGGCATTAATGGTCAAAAAAGGCCAGAAAAAGAAACTGTTGTAACAAGTGAAATTAATTTCTATTTATCTTAAAGTGACAAACTAATCCATCACTGTTGTAGAAACTGAACAAAAGCACATTTCCAATACCAGAGCTTGCTGAATCCCAAGCACAAGGCCATCATGGTGCTTAAAAACATGAGCTGGCATCTGGGTATTCTTACTGAATATTTTTCATATATAAAGCAATATTTACAATATATTTTAACATCACAGTAAAGACTGGTACAACATTTGAATGTCCAATAAATATTGAAATATTATACAGGAAGTCCAAATTGTCATAAATCTCGAAAGATTTTGATGTTTAACCACCAGCAGATAAAAACACATATTGACAAGTAGGTTCCTGTTTGCCAAGATACAACTGAAACAGTTGGTATTGAAAGTTTCCATGGGTGGTTTGTTTAGAATGTTGTGCAATGCTTCACAAGAGCTATCTGTGCTAGCGATCCCAAATTTAGCAATGATAGACTAAAAAGAAGGTAGCTAGTAAACACAACCCACTGTCAACTATAGGGCTACTTTTTACTAATGAATAGTGGAATTGACTGCCACATTAAAACACCCCTATGAATGAAAATGTGAGCATGTTCAGTGTGACAGGGATTTAAACCCACAACCCTCAGATTGCGAGTTGAGTGCCCTAACCTCCAGGCCATGCCATTCCATTTCCATGGGTCTTAAATAATTTTACATATACACAGAAAAGATTGCAAGACTGGCTCACCTTCAAAGCATTGTAAACATTCATTAATATTCCACATAGAAGCAGTCTGTATACTATTTTTATGTCTAAAATGCACAATTTGTACAAAATTTTGCAATGGTAAGTAAGTTAAGCTACCATTCTAGCTACTAGAAATTATTTCTGGCTTCTAAACATCAGAGGTATGTGGCAATCTCTATCACATATTATCTCATCAGAATGATTTCTTTCAATCCAAGCTACAAATGTGTACTGTACTGCGAGTGCCTCTTTACAGAAGCCAACAGTAAAATTTACAAGATGTTGTTTCTGAAAAATTCCTGAGCAGCTATTGCTCTGACTTTGGAACCTCAAATTCTTTCATTTTAAATATTGAAAAATAATATTTAATTAAGATATCCCAAGCAGAAAGTGACATTTCAGTGTGCCTTCTGTAAATTTTAAGTAATAATTTCATTGTGATATTTGGATATAAGGGCAATTTTACATTAATGCAAAATACACATTTCTAATAAACAATTTTCTGAAAACTGATGATAGATGTGTATGAATAACAAAACAGTGCTTTATGTTAGAAAAAAAACTTAAAATAAAGAATAAATTCCTTTAAAAAAACAATTATTTAATAAAAGACTGGTTAAAGTAGACTTAGACTGATACAGGTATTCACATACCACACTGATTTCCATTCACTTTAAAAAGGTTTGACAGTAGGATATGCTTGGTAAAATATCAAATTAAACCATTTTATAACCACAAAATATATTATTGATACTGAGTTTCTTTCATAATTTTTGTAATATCTACTAAAAATCATACCTATTTGTGTTATTACCATTAAAAATTCATAAAGTTAAATAATTACCTGACCTTATGTGTGTTATTTATAACTTCTTAGTGCTTAGTCCTTTGGTTATATTGTTTCTTGTAAGTAATACAAAAATTGCAAGTATTCTGCTGCTGAATAGGCACTAATATTCAGCAAGGCTGAATATCTGGTAAAGCAACTAAATACTAAATAAATATTCGTTACAACCCTACTTACAGTCGCACTAATTTAATTACCAGAATGTAATCTCATCCAGCTATCATCTTACCCCCAAATATTTAAGACTCCAAGGTCAAAGTAGCAGGAAGTAATTAATTTGATGCAGAATTGGTGTTGTCAATAGTGAACATTTTTTAAAATAAATCATCAGAACATTCATCATTCATGTCCTACCATATGTTGCAATGACATCCCTTAATCCATCACCCTCCACTAGTAGTTTGTAGAGAACTGGAGAACTGGAATCATCCACATGAATAACAGCTCGAGACACAGAGGGCAGTCCCTGAAGTTAAAAGACATTTGATGGAAAAAAAATTTATTATAAGGACATTAATCTGCCTTTTACACAATTTTTGCTGGTTAAGTTTTGGTTCACACATTTTTATACTAATTCCAGAAAGTTGGAAACTAGTCATTTGAAAGATTAATTAGTGTTATACTATGTAAAATTAATTTTGATTCTGAGTTTAGGTATTTATAATACATAGTTTCTACTAATACTTTTATTTTTGAAAATCTTGAAATGTCTTGAAAAAAGTAATAGGCAACATGTCTGTCTTACTTTGATAACAATGCTTGGTAACTGTTCCTTCATTGTCTGGAGAACATAGTACAGAGAGCTACGACTACTATCGGAAGGTCGAACCGTCAATATGGAGTCACTGTGAACTTTAATATTTTGGGGCTTCACTCGCAGCTTTGATGTGCATATAGAATAACGAATTGTTTCAGCAGACACTTCAAGCTGCAAAGTTCAATATACTTCTGGATTACAAGAAATTATAATGTAATTGTATGACTTTAAGCCACAATCTTAAAATATTTTACTGGTCATAAAGTATAGGTTATATGTCCAACCCTTACTTTCTGTCTTCCACATACCGTAGTTTGACAGTTAACTTCTTAAAACACAGATCTGCAATTGTGTTACAGCCTTTTATATGAGAAACAATATGGTTATGAATTTTGGAAAAAGATTTTAAAACAACAAACTACAAATCCATTAAAAAACTAGAATACAGAGAGTTTAGTACAATATACTATAATGATTTTGAATATGGAAAACAGCAAGTTATGTGACAAACACAGCCAATATAAAGTCATGGTAAAATGCCATGTATCAACACTAAATTTTAACATTGTAAGGCATTTAGTAGATAGCCTTTGGGAGTGGTATGTTACAGCCCTTTCTGATTCAAAATATTAATTCAGTCAGATCATAAAGATTTGTTTAAATCAGAGATTTAAAATTTCCAAGGTGGAGATATCCCAAACAGTTAATTGCACTGGAAAAGAAATGAATATGAATGAACATAGAGTACTGGGACCACCTAGAAAGAGACTTTCAACAAGTCGTACCCATGCCTTGTGAGAATCCATGAACATAAAGATCTGTGGCAAAAGCCATCCACATGGCTCCAGACAATAGTATTCAACACATCAAGAAGGATCAGTGTCTGGAAAAATCACACAAGTCACGTGTACACAAGTTGCTTCCATGACACATCCATACCTGTTACATACCTGTCAAGTCACCAGATGCAGCACCTATGATTTCTTTGTAATTGGATGATTGAAAAAGCTGCTAGAAACAATCATCTTCAAACACTAGAGGTGCTATGGAAAGCCTGCATAAAGCAGTGTTGTGCTTTTGAAATAACAAACGTATGATAGAGCTTTATAATAGAAACTATGCCACACAGACATTATCAGAATGCATGGCTATCAGAGACAGAATGACTGGATGTGGTGATTCCCCAAGATAGTTTTAACCACTTACAGTCAATTGGCAGAGATAATGCCACTTCTGTCCTTTCATTAATAACTCATAAAAACTTCCATATTTGACAGATACTTAAAACATATGGGATGATGACTATGGAACCTTTTAAAATATAAAATTGACTTTTCTGGTCAATTTATGATTTATAACACAATAAAACTACAATCTAACAAAGTTATTTACTACACAATTATGCATGATCCACATAACCATTAACCTGAAAGCAACTTTTTGTACATACAATGTATACAACAGTAGTCCTATTGAAATCATGCACTAGGTCACTTTGTTAAAAGAAATGTTGCAATAAAAAAACTTCTAAAGCATTAAAACTGATATAAACATAAATATCTCACAATATTTTAAAAAATTAAAATTATCTATGTTCTCCTTTTACTAATTTATGTACGTGTGTTCAAAGCAGACCTCACAATATTCACTTTTGCCAAATGACAAAATAATATATTTGCATTCACAATGGCCTTGAAGAAAATTAATTCAGTAAAATAAACAAACACTAAAGGAAGCTCTTTAAATTAATTTATTTCCCTTCTATGGCATAAAAATAATAGAAAACCATTATTAACATTATTTTGATTGAGTTTCTTTCTATTTTTTTGTCATTGCACCAAAAGTATGGAAACTTTAGAAAAACATACTAAACTTTCATGGATTTTTTTAAAATTTGGTACACTGAAAGACCTTTTCAATCTACATTTAGGAGTCTCATTTTGTGTAAATATATGCCACATGTGTAAAGTTATACAAAAACAGCTCAAATTTGACAAAGATTTTTGGGCACGCTTACACAAAAAGTCACATGAGCTATAGGACTAACATTTTTCATACAACTTCACCTAAGAGTGAAAGTGGGGCATTTTTAATTTATTTTTTATTCGGATTAAAGACGGTTGATTTAGAGCAGCAAACCTATAAGGTGAAAGGATGTGCAGATACATAAGTATTGGTTAGGCCAAGCAAACTACATTAGCAGTTTCTAGCTCAAGTGTTCAAAAGAATCATATGGGTGGACAGTTATTAATGATTATTCACTGCCAACTTTTCAGTACAAATTTACTAAATGTTATGAAATTATCCTAATTAAAGAGCATTTAGCATCATGTGATATTGGCTTAAGCATTCAGCATAAATAATGATGCATGATACAGATGTATTGACTGCATGGGCATGATGACAAGAAACTGTTAATCTAAGTTCCATGGTGTTACTATAAAGGAAGCTATTCACAATGTTTTAGAAAGGAAAAACTACCAACATATATTTTAAAGAATCTGGTTGGTTCTGTGAGGTAAAGGTCTGTTCCAAATAATAGGGTTGCGATCCTAAGACTAATGTTAGTTACTATCGAGTGTCACTTACTTACTTGCTGTGGTTTGTTGGTGTGTATTGACAAAAAGTCATGATATCTAATCAAAAACACCTTACGTGTGAAAATAAGGTGCAGCCAAAAAAGGATTTAGTGTGTGACTTAAAAGAATGAACTCCAAATTGGTGGCCAAACTGGTAGCTACAATTATAGCATTGAATAGAATTTTAGAGCAAATATTCATTTGAACAAAAAATGTGGCCTGACTAACTAATGAATGAATATTTGCTGTAAAATTCTTATCAATGCTATTAAGTGTAGCTACCAATTTTGATTTCATTCCTTTAAGTCAACACTCAATCCTTTTTGGCTGCACCTTTTTTTTTTCACACCTAAGGTGTTTTTTGATTAGATATTACTTTACAATCTAGTGTACCTACATAAGGAAAAAAATGTAACCCTATAGTAACAGTGAGAGAGATAATAATGTCAGGTTTCTGATGATATGTTTACAACTTTGTTAGCTTCAGAAATTTGAAAATTGTAAAACAAAACATATAGGTAGTTGAATTTTAAAGTTCTTAACATCACCAACGTCAAAAATTCACTGTTTTCAAATTATTTGAGCTAAAAAAAGCTTCAAATTAATGTAAGGTTACCAGTTTTGCAGTTTAGTTACATCCACTGACAAATTATATCTGTGCAGACAGGAAACTTAATGATTTCCACTATCTCAATAATAATTACAATGGGGAGCAAAAATCAAAAATTAGGGCTAGTAGTTATGACTTTAAATACTTCTTGCAAAATAACTATTAATAAACTTAGATCAAAAGAAAATTTAAAAGCTCAACATTTACTACTTCATGACTACAATAAAGCAAACAGAAAACATTAAAGCAGCAAAACCAGTAATTTACAAAAGGATTGAGGCATTTATTATAATTATTGTATTATCAATTCTAACACAAAAGAGTACAAGTAACAGGCTCGATATCATTTAAAAACACATACATTGGTATAAATTAAAAATGTAACCCTAAGTTTTTACTATTAAAGCTAAATCCAAACCATATCTTTGAAAAATATTAATTTACAGTTCCTAAATAATTATTATGAAAGAATTTTAAAGAAAAAACAGAACTGATGAAACAAACCTTGAGAAGTTTGATTCTGTCAATATCTAACTTTACAAGGATGAAGCAATCATCAGGAAGAAACACTTCTTCAATATATTCAGATACCTGTTAAAAGCATTCAAACATAAACTATATCACAATACTCATTTCATGCAGAATAACCAGTTTCCATTTTATGCAAAAAATTTTCTGAGAGGTTTAAAAACCAGACAATCAAAATAAGATTAATAACTAGCTTTTATTATTATTGAAGAAGAAACTTTTATTAAAAAACGTACAGATAATATCAAAGCAAACAATGAATAACATTTACCAAAATTAAACTGCAATATTTAACCTGTACAGCACCATATGCACATGTGGTCTAAAACCCTAAGCGGCCAAGTAAGAGACCCCTATGATTGAGGTATAGCCATATTTAATTTTTAATTACTGACCAAAGGGAAAGCAACCAGCCAGCAAAATTTGGCACGAAAGAAAATTTGTTCAGTTCTTGAACCCTAACACCCTGAATCCAATATGCTAACCATTATTACTCCCAGCCCAATTAATCATATATAAAAACTGTATTATATTTCAATCCACAGCAAAGTAGTTTAATAGATTATAGCCACAAAACAAAGTATAAAAGATAATTTAACAAGGGCATCTTTTTATATATAGGCAAGTTAATAATTATTTGTTGAGAATAAGTAGACAACTAGAATATTTTATGGAATAAACCACATTGAAATTAACTGAAGCTTAACAGTGAAAACCAAAAGTGTTACCATGTGTGTGAATATGCATTTTCCAAATCAGCAATATAAGTACATGCAATCATTCTGACTTCATGATAAAACCTCCTAAATCTAAACTGTACCTCTCCTAGTAGAGTTTTCTCAACACGACCTTTGACTCTGCGGGCAAATTCTGGATCAACAGCACAAATAAGAGAAGCAGTAATGACTGGAGTACTAATTAACTTGTTAGCATTGATGATTTCTTTTATTCGTGGTACTCCCTGAGTTATATCTGTTTAGAATTAAAGTGCATATAACATCAACATCACTTAAACTAAAAACTGATCCACCAGTAAATCAGAGGTGCATATTATTACTGATTATCCATAAATGAATACTTATAGCTCATATTACTCAGTTGTTATCCGTACATGAATACTTGTACATCATATTACTCAGTTACTAGCCATACATAAATACATGTACATCTTATTCAGCCCACACATGAAAATGTACATCTTGTTATTCAGTTTACAAATGAATACCTGTAAGTCTTCTTACTCAGTCCTCCACATATGAATATTATACATCTTATTACCCAGTCCACATATGAATATTATACATCTTATTACCCAGTCCACATATGAATATTATACATCTTATTACCCAGTCCACACATGAATATTCATGCATCTTCTTACTCAGTTACTATCCACATCAGTACTTATATATCGATACGCAGTTACTATTCACACACACACACACACACGATTACTTCATCTTATTACACTGTTACTATCTAACTATGAATACTTGTACATCTTAACCAAAAATCTTTCTCATGTCCAAGAATATTTATTTTCTTAAGGTTAATTACATTCATTTATTAACAGCTAATACTGAATACTTGATTTCTACAATTCACCACAGATTACTTGTCCTATTTTTGTTTCTCCAGATGTAATTATTCAAAATTCTGTATTTTAAATGGATATGACTTTTGTATATTTTTTATAATTATTTCTAGAAACAACATGAAATTAGCTTTTGATTTTTATTGCAAAACCATTTTGATTCCCACAGTATATTAGCTACATATATTAAAACTTATACATGATACTACTGCCAAAATTAAGATATATCACTATTTTTTTCTTCAGTCAAATAAATAAACTATAAATTTCAACCACACTACATGGAACTACAAAAGATTAAAAAATGTGTATCAAGTTTCAAAGTTTCACAAATTGTGTTTAACCAAATCAGTAGTTTGGCCGTTGAAATTCTATGATCAGTAGGATTATAAACTATTTTGGGTTATTTTTTCTATATCATACTAATTACAAATCTGAAGCTGTCTTACAAATAAAGGATACTCATGGAAGCTACCCCAGCAAAGTGGAAGGTCTTCAAGGTCATCTGAGTTGCTGGTTCCCCAATACTCTGTGCACAAACAGCCCCAACAGCAGTGCCTATAGAAATGTTTATTAATAATGGAAATTATTAATATAAAACATTCAATTTACAGATCTGTCTTTAGTTATATAAGTCCAGATGACAAATAATTAAGTCTTTTTGTCAAAAGTTAGAATAAGGTGTACCAAATCTTTGATTCTATGCTGAAAGTAATCAAACTGTTAACAACAGATTCTTAAAACAACAAAACAAAGTATTTAGTAGAACTTTCATAAGTTAAACAGAACATACAGTTCAACAAAACTACAGAAGAAAAGGTATATAGAATATAAAAACAACAACAACAAAAAACCATGAGCACTTGTCACTAGCCTCATAACCAAACATGATACCATGATCATGTCACTAGCTTAGCCAAACATAACACCATGATCACTTGCCACTAGCCTCATAACCAAATATGACAGATACCATGATCATGTCACTAGCCTAGCCAAATATAACACCATGATCACTTGCCACTCGCCTCATAAACCAAATATGAATACCATGATCATGTCACTAGCCTCATAACCAAACATGATACCATGATCATGTCACTAGCTTAGCCAAACATAACACCATGATCACTTGCCACTAGCCTCATAACCAAATATGTTTGATACCATGATCATGTCACTAGCCTAGCCAAAGATAACACCATGACCACTTGCCACTAGCCTCACAACCAAACATGATACCATGATCATGTCACTAGCCTAGTCAAACATAACACCATGACCACTTGTCACAAGACATTGATAATAATTACAGTTCACTTACTTAATCTAGTTCATACTATAACAGTTGTTCATGAATATTGATTATATAAATAATGACAAGACCACTACTATGTCATTCTTTCCCAGCCAGTCCAATGAGCCCTGGTATTGGGCAACAGTTTGTCATGAGGGTTTTCTGCATTATTCTTGATCCACTGAACAATTGGTTTCACTTATATTTTTTATTTATTTATTCATCATTATTTTTAGGAAATTACCATTGAATTGTGTCAACAGGCATCTGCTAGTACCATATAATGTTCTCTTGTCACTTCTACCTTCAACTGTCACAAGTACTGTAATGTTCACTTAACACAGCTGTTTTCAACTGCCACAAGTAAAGTAGTTAGCAGCTACAATATAATGTTCACTTGTCACTGTTATCTCCAAATGCCACAAGTAAAATAGTAAGCAGATACAAGATAATGTTCACTTGTAACTGCTACCTTCAACTGCTTCAAGTACTGTAGTAAACAGATACAATACAATAGTAAACAGACATACCATATAATGTTCACTTGTCACTGCTACCTTCAACTGCTTCAAGTACTGTAGTAAACAGATACAATACAATAGTAAACAGACATACCATATAATGTTCACTTGTCACTGATACCTTCAACTGCTTCAAGTACTGTACTAAACAGATACAATACAATAGTAAACACACACACAATATAATGGTCACTTGTCACTGCTACCTTCAACTGCTTCAAGTACTGTAGTAAGCAGATACAATATAATGCTCATTTGTCACTGCTATCTCTATTTGCCACTAATATAAACACCACACACAATATCATGATCAACTGTCACTCTTACCTTTATCTATTACAAATCTTGAGACAACACACACACAAAATAAATATATCATTTGTCACCAGTACTTTCATTTACCTTAAAGTATTCTAGCAATCACACACAGTATCATGACCACTTGTTCGTAGTACGTTTAATTTATACAAATCTAACAATTTGTCCTAGTCTAGTAACCATGGAAGACAGGATGTTCACTTGTCACTATTATAGTGACCACATATATATATGTATATATAAAAGACCTTTCAAGTTGTGTCATTACAAAATAACATACCAACAACAATGGAAAATGTTCTTATTTGAAGATGTCCTTTCACACCAACCCTAGAGAACAGTAAAAATGTAAATTCCCCCATTATTTTTAATGGCAGATGAACAATTTTCCTCTGAAACTCCTTTAAAGTGGTAGCCTCTACTATTGCTTACAGCAAACTTATTCCATAAGTTAATTGCCTGTTAGAAACCTAAACCTGCCATAACTGGAACCTAGCTTGTATTTTCTAAATTTTGTGTCCTCTCATCCTGCTCTCTTCAGAATACAACATCCTATCAATCCATGGATAATTGTAAAATTTATTAAGATCATCTTTGAACCCTCTTTTCTCAAGAGATGTTAATATATTCCAATAAAATAATCTTTCTATCCCTGCAATCACCCTAGGAACTCTCCTGTTAAGTCTTTCTAATACTATTTTGAAGTAAGTATCCTTTTTTAGATAAGGAAACCAAAAACTGTACACAGTACTTCAAATAAGGCCCACTAAGTGATTTGTAATTAATATGTCTAATAAACACATCCTAAAATTCTGTTAGCTTTACTATTAGCAGAGAGTACAGCCTCAATGGGCTGATCCACTTATCTATCACTATGCCAATATATTTTCCTTAATTTGTGTTATAGTGTTGCCATCTATATTAAAAGTGTATTAATGAAATGACTTGTTATTCTGTTATCATGTCAGACTCAGAGTTTGGGTTGGATTTGAGAGAATCTTTTATAATAATTATTGCAATGACTTGTTTTTCTAGTATCATATTTGTATCAGAGGTAGTGTTTTTAGAAGTATAAAATTTAAAGTTTCAGTGTTATAACACAGTTGTCACTATATTTCTAATGAAAGAAATAATTTTTTTCACACAGTAATTTTTTTTAGCTATGAGTAGCCAACCTAATAAATTCAGCAGATCAATATGTCACCAAATTTTAAATAATTACACAAGTTTTACTTAGCTTTTTCTGGAAAACTATTTGATTGGGATAAGGTTACAGATAATATGAACTACACATAAACACTCTACGTTAACTATAAACATTACTGCTTAGATAAAAGTTTACCTGGTTCAAGCACAGCCCTCATGTATTTGCCTTTACAAGTATTGAAGAACTCCTGCAGCTGGGTGACAGTCAGTCTCTCTAGTTGCTTCAGTACTACAATAAAATAATAAAAACTTGTAGAAAATATTAAAAAGATGCAATTTTCATACAACATGTCAGTCTTTACACAACACTTATGTGGCAAATTTCAAGTTCAGCTACAACTTACTTGACCTTGCTACTATTTTTATCCCACACAATGTATTACACAATATTCTCCATATACAGTGGTAAGTGATTTTAAAAGTAAGATATGCCTAAAATGTAAGCATACTAACAAAGGTAAAGTTAACCTTCTCCAGATGGGTCACAGGTCAAAGGAAAAGTCATCGCATTTGTTAACTTGCATTCAAAATTTTATTGAACTACTATTTCATGAATTTATGTCAATAAGTTTGGTATCAAACTAGATTATAATTCAAATTTTAGTATTATACATTATTTATTTTCTTAATTAAAAAGTAAATGTAAAAAAAACACAGTTAAACATAGAATTTTTGTGTGTCACATTGTATATTGAACACAGCACTGGTTCAAATTAGATGTCAAAATACCAAGTCTATAGCTTCATACAAATTACGAACTCAGATTACCGATATTGACAACCTATAACATAAAATAAGAACCTCATATCTTTTATACTTGCTGAGATATCAGTCACGTACTGAATCATGCACAGTGGTCCTGCTCAGTTCTTTCTATTTTTGGAAACACTCCCTTACACACTTACTTCAATATATGACATGTGAATAACCAATCGATTGCTCAGATTGTCCCCCTAGTGGCTTTCTCAGCTACTTTCAAGTGTTAGGAAACCATCTCTTTTTTTTGAACCGAGATTTCAAGGAGGTAGGTTGTGTCTTTAGTCTACTCAAAATTTCATATTTTTTTAGACCCAAATACAGCTTAGTTACTAAGCTTAGTAAATTATAGTAGAACTGTATGGTATTGATATAGTAATTTATGAATTTTGGTTATTCAACTGCATATATAAAACCTAAAAAAATTTTCTTGTTTCCACGTACAAAATTTTAAAAGGCTTAGAAACCTATGTCAAGCAGCAACCGAGTACAAAGGTTGTAATTAGAAGAGATAATCATTTACTTTACTTCTTTATTTACTGTTCTGTTTTAAGAAAAATAAGTTTAAGAACTTATTTCTAAATAGTAATAATCTATATTCATCTATAATGTATAATAATGGAAATGTGACTGTATTTTACAAAATACTAGTGCCAAGATAGGTCACTTTGTAAAGACTAAAGGTCAGAAAGATTATGTTAACATCTGCATTTTAAAGTAGAATTCAAACAGATATTTATCTATACCACAACTTTCTAATTATTCATTATTATTCTGGCTATATGCCAAGATATAAACTTCTATTAATTTTCACTGAGCTCTCAACTTTCCTCTCCATATCCAATGATCATCATTTCAATGACCTGTAACTTCTCAGTCACATTCAAAGCTGAAGTGATTAGAAGTGTTTTACACCCTCTATCAACATAATTTATCTCTACCATAACTGTCTAACTAGAATCCTCATTTCTGATTGGAAGTGGGACCTGAAAAAGTGAGGATAGACACCTATCACTCCTGGGAAAGGAAAACAGCTAATACTGCATATAACAGACCGTGAAGAGAAATTGGTATCATGGCAACCAAAGTATCATCTTGGCCAGAAGCAAAATTCCACGTTGCTGACTTATTAAGATTAGACCAAGCATTGGGAGTAGACTTGATTGTTATAGAAACTCCTAAGCCAATAGACCCAGGACAACATACTGGACAATCGAAGATTAAAGATGAAAATCCTTGAAAACAAAGGGCATTCCTTGATGTGTTATTTAGTATTTTTATTCTGAATGGCACTTTATGCAACATATGGGTAAAACAGGTAGGTAACAGACCTCTAGGATTCAGATACAGCCACATTAACTTTGAGCTACTGACCAGAGGAAATGCAGCACATGTAATAACAAGGACTTCGAATTGAATAATGAAGATGACTGTCACTCTTATGCACTGAAAGTTGAAAATTAGGAATGTGTTCAGTGGTTCCTGGGTGTGAACTGTGGACTTTTGATCCACAGTGCATCATACTAATCACAAGTCATGCCCGATCAATCTTTGGTGTGTTAGATAAGGATGATATGTGATAAGTCTACAAACTATCAGCATGGGGATATGTTCAGATAGCACACTACATAGAAGGTGTAGCATAATCAACTGAGTGTAATCACTTCAGACGATCTATGGAATCAGTCAGTTAGCAACAACCTACAGTATGCTCAAGTGGGTATACCATGAAATCTTGATCAAATTTGGTACACAAAGCAAGAGATACCGATCATACATGTTACTAGGAGGCTATTGCTGCTACAAAGAGGGATCAGGTGAACTAGAAAAAGACACTGAATCTCACATTCTGTATTGTCATGAATGGGCTCCAAGGAAAGAAGGAATGTTATTTAGATGTGCATTTTTAAAGGCTTAAAAACAGAATAATTCGGGTGTGAAAATATCCAGAACAGGCTCACCTTGAAGATACCAGTTTTTGTGGAATTGGGAAGTTATCAGAGAGGTGATTATAAATGTAACTTAAGTATAAAGTAGTTTAATGTCAACCAGTATGCTAAATACTATTGTGAGCAATTCTTGGAGGAAGAATTAGTTACTGAGGAAAACAAGAAAAAAAAAAGTATCTGGATGACCACTTTAGAGGCAGAAGAAAATTTTTCAGATGGTACAAGAACACTTTTGTAAACTTCAATGATCATCACTTGAAGAAATTTTCTTACAGAAATTAGTTAGCTGCTGTCAAAGAATCATTGCTAGGTTCAGTAAGAAACTCATCAGTAAGTTTGGTATTGGAGGTGTTAGAGAAGGTAGGATTAAAATGTAAGGAAATCAATATTACCTCTATCAGAAGAGAAATTTCAGGCATATATATATATATATAAGAAACCAAATAAGTGGATGAGTTTTGGTTTCAGTAGACCACTGAATGGTAGACAGAAACATCAGGTATGACCACACAAATACAAGTGAAGTCAGATGCACAGAGAACAAAGATGTACAGGTTGTAGCTACTTGCTGCTTATTAATGACTGTCATTATGCAAGAACAATTCAAGGATAGAAAGACTACTGTTCACAACAAGCTAGATGTAAATGCAGAAAACCAGACCTACAAGCATGGAATGCAACAGAGAAGGAACATTAATGGCAAGAAAAAAAATAGTCATGCTGAACACTGGAGTCAACATTGGTAGTATATGTGGCAGAAGTTGAACTAACTAGGATTATTCACCCTCAAAAAAAGAACATAAGGCACATCACATGAATGAAAATTTGCAGATAATACAAGTACTTACAATTAAACAATACTGAGATTTCAGCTGACATAAAATAAGTGTTTTAGTGTTATTCAATTAATACCATCATTATATATGTTAAACAACTATCTTGAGACTTCTATTGACACATACAAGACATTTTACTTTACTCCTCATTGTTAATAAACATTTTAACCCTTAGAAAATTTATTAAATAGTATCTGATTTCAACTTAAAGAATTGATATAATTTAATTTAGCTTTTCTATTGTTTTTTAATTTGCAAACCTTCAACAAATATATGTTGATACTTTATTTTGCCAACTGCTGTACGCATCACTTCCAACTATAAATCATAGAAAACACCACAGAAACAGACAATGATTTATCAGTGACAACCACAATAGGTCAGTCTAAGTAACAATATTCTTGGTTGAAATCAATTTATATTTAATAAATATACTTTCTTTTCAATAAATTATCAGTTCTTATACTTATGTGCATAATTTGAATGTGGTTAACTTAACAATAATATTCAATAAGTAAAGATTTGAGCCACCACAATATTTTGCTTGTAACCCACCATATTTTCTAAACCTAACAAGTTTAGCTGATGTCTTTTCATACAAGAAAACTTCCATAGCTTTCCAACAAATATATTTAACAAAACTATTTTTGGGAACAAAAAAAAAAGAACTTCTACTGCAACTATAAACAAAAATCCAAATATGTAGTTTGTAAGTCTTCTGAACTTCTCACTACATTCTCTTAATTCACCTGTGTACAAGCTGAGCATTGTCACTTTTCCATAAAATCATAAATCACAGAACTTTATAATCTATAACATAGTTCATAATCTGTCTACCCAACAGTATTTAAGCTTTACTTGTAGCTACTTTGAAAGCTGAATTTCAATCACCCACTGTGAAGTCATAAAAGGGTAAAGCCAAAAGACTATACTAATAAAACTCATAGAAAGAGAAGAAAAATCATGTAAGTTTTAAAATTTAAAATGTAATTCTTGCCAATTGTCATAATTTAAAATATAATTTTCACCAATTGTCAAAATAAAAGGCTTTTACTTATACTTCTTAATAGTATAAATATATATATATATTGTGTTGTTGTTGGGGCTTAGGATTCTTCTACAGTGGGTGTCTGTGACTTGTTGGTGATAAATTCAATGATAAATGAACAGCATGCACTTCACTTGTTTTCACAATAATATATATATATATATATATATTCTGATACAACAAATTCTTCACACTATAGATATTATAGGCATATCATAAACACTATATATGTAGTTCTCTCCTTCTTATCAAAAGTCCACTTAAGCCTATTCAATTACTTTAGAATTTCAGTTGATAAGCCAAACTATCTTCTCTATTTCTATTGCACTAGTATTCTGTGTGTGATTCACTTATAATTGTGGCACAAGTTACCGTAATTGTTTGGTCTTCTTTCTTAAAAATATCTTCTGTTCTTTTTGTCAAAGTGCACTCAGGCTGATTCAGTTACTTTAGAACCAAACTTTGATGGAATAAATTCTTATTATTATCTCCTTTTCTATTGTTAGTCTTACTCTAACGTATTAAATGTTAGGACTACATTAATCGTTACACCTATCACTTTTACGGTAGTTAACTTCACACCAAACATTTCCTTGCCCATAACTTTACTCTCTTCTGCTGTTGTCTGTCTGCTGTTTCTGCTCATCTCACACTATTTATATGTCTGTTACCTAATTGTCTGCCCACCTTCTATATTCTCAATGTCAATGTATTGTACGCAACATTCAACATCAATGATTTATAAACACAATGTCCTACAATCATCTGCTTTTAACTCATATTATAACAAAAACTAAGCAATAATAAATATTCACTCACAAAAATAAATTAATCAATAGTATCTAAACTAAACAGTCTTATATATATCATGACACAATTAAAATTATTAATTTTACTTGTATTTTAAAATTTGATATGCATATTTACTGGCCCAGAAACAGTTGATCCACTACAATGATATTACAAAGTGACAATTTTCATGTTTCATTGGAATAAAAAATGGAATAACTGCATTAACCCAACAATTATTTTTCAACTGTATTTAGCTGCAGCATAGTGGCTCATAGAATGGTTCTGAGTTTTTCAAGTACAAACTTTTAGCTCCATTATCTCGTGACCAATTTGAGATCTAATTACAATTTTGGACTCAGAAGGTCAAACCCTTTTGACTGATGTATTTGAACATGCCCATGGTTTCATAGATTAACTTACTCTAATCCTGCCTAAAATAATTTCAATTTGAGGGTAGGTTGGGTATATGCATGCCTCATGTTTGTTATTGCTGATGCATAAAAATATAGCAAATAAAAGGGAAAAAAATGGTCTCATAGATTAACTTACTCTAATCCTGCCTAAAAGTATTTCAAGTACCACAGCTATTGAGGATTCTCACTTGTTATAAAGTCAAAATTTTTATTTAATTACTCAAACTTAAAAAATTCAGAGCAAAATAAAAGTCTTACCAGGAGGAGATCGTTTCTTGTTACTAACTTTGTATTTTTTATGAACTTTTCCAACAGTAGCTGCATATGTATGTATGAATTCTCTGTAAAAAAAATGTTTAAATCTAGTCTCTGATTTTGCTGCAATATATAACAAGAACACAAAAACCAAGATATCAAACTAGAAAAACTTAATTAGCATCAACCTTTTACAAAACCATTCAGTAACTGTACATGACTGATCCTATTATATGTATATGCTTTTAAGTATAATATTTAAAAAATTATTTTTCATACATTTTATATTTCCATCTAAAAATGTAAATTAGTTTAAATTTTTAGGCAAGACATACAGATTCTTGATTCAAGATTTGTATGTGTGTGTGTGTGTTGCAGCAGTAAATAAATGTATTTATTTTTTAGCAATCAGGAATTTACTTCTTCTTAGTATTCTTATTTAAAATGAACTGCAGTATTTTTAAAGATTCTTAACGATTTTTTCTAAATAATCTTACTGAAAGTGAATTAAAAACCATTATATTTCAAGATAAACACTACTTGTTTTAAAGACATATTTGTATCTATAATTAAATACGGAATACATTTGAACTTTTACGTAATCTTTATGCACATATACAATATCTTAAAACCAGAAAAAGAAAAGACTTATTGTTTACTTAAGTTCTTTCCTGAAAGTTTCTCCACACCGCTTATAGCTTTCACTGTCTACAATTTCTGTAGTCAGTTGGAGAATCATTTTCTCATTCAACGGATCTTCATTTGAACATGGAAACACTGCCTACAGAACATCTAATATTAGGTTTCTTCCAGAATTAAAACATAACATACAAAATATTTAAGATCAAATATTCCACTTACAAATTTTTCACTGAAAATCATACTAGATTAACTCTCTCCATACAAGCTAAGTCGATTTGACCGACCACGTTACCTCCTTATACTCATTTAAAGTCTTTATAGTTTTGATACTACTACTACATTTTAATATAGTACGTATATCTTCACAAATTTGGCACACTTTCAGTAACCATTACAGGTCTTTAACATACAAAAAACCATATTTTTTTAGTGAAGTATTTTTAATAAAGTAAAAAAAAAATTGTCCATGAATATTTCGAGTATTTTTTTACTAGTAGGTGTGCAAAGTGATTTTCATGTTAAGATTAAAAAATACTTTTCTTCCTCTCAAAAATCTCAAATTTCATTTGTATTATCTCTAAAACCTCCTAAATACATTTCAGATGTTTGTTTTCAGTAAAACTTTATATTTTAACTGTTATTTTCTCTATTCTAACTCTACACAAGGTTGGTCAATTTGATCAACCTTATACCAACCCCCCAAAAATCTAAATTACCCTTTCTTTCTTTCTAGAAGGGCTTCAAATTATAACATGAAACTACATTCATTTATCCCAAGTAGCTTTATACTCATAGCAATATATATATATATCTATTAATAATTAAATGTCATTATTTTATTGCCCTTTGAACTGTGTCTAACTATTATTTGCACCATTATAAATTGTAAATCACTTGGGGAACATGGAGCTCACGTTAAGTTATCAAATTACATTACTCACGAGCTGCTCGCATGTGTGACTCGTGAAACATTTTTATTATATTATTATTTTTTTGCCTAATCTAATCTTAACTAACCTAAAGAAACCTTATTTTTATATTTTAGTTACTTTTATAATAATAAATAAACAATAAACATGAAACACACGAAATAAAGTACTTATACGGGTTTCCTTTTTTTTTTTGTCTGTTGACTGACGATCACACTTAACCCTACTTTATTTATACTAATGGTAGTACTGCACTAAATAATTTTCATTTAACTAAATAATGCACCCAAGAACATAGACTAATAACATGCAAAAAGCAGACAATTTACCCTAATTAACACAATTTTTCTGGTTTTCTAATTATGCAACAAGATCCGTTAAAAATTCATCCAAGCTAGTCATTGTCTTTCCTATGAGAATGAAGCTTGTACTAACAGAGAAATTGACAATCCTCTATTCAGAAAACAATGTATATAATATATCAGTTGATAGATATAATCTTGGCTTTCTATTGGTTATAGATAATAGAGAATTAAATATAAGAGAAAACTACTAACAAATCCTGAAAGATATGATGTGACAGGTGGGTGTGACAAAAGGGGTCTGATTTTCTACTTGATAGCTCTGTAACCAAACAAAATTGAAGGCTATAAAATTTAAGGTTTGTCTGAGCAAAAACGATTTTATAGTGAGTAATTTACTTTACATTTTGCACACATTCAGGAGGCGATATATAAAATAGAAAACATACCTACACAAAATGTCTCATGTCTGTTACACTAGGGGAATTTCTGGATTTTTTTAAATATTGCCTCATAGAATTAAGAATTTAAATCTTATATAATATCAAAATATGGATTACTAGCTATGATTTTATGCTGTACTAATTGGTATAACATAAACAAAAAAATAAAATATCAGAATAAAATTACAAATTGTAATTTATATGTATTCAATCTTTGAAGATAATCTTAAAAAGCAAATACATTTTGTAAGTTCATCACTTCAAAGAATCATACTGGGTCTAGGTTATAAATATACTTACTACAATATGATCTAAAACACGTTTAAAGTCCACAGGCTTGTCTTTTCCTTCCATTGCTGCAGGATCTAAACCATCCCCTCCATAGTAAAACTGAACAATATCTCCAACAGAATTTCGCACAGTCATGTCGTAATGGGAGCATAGGTCTTCTAGAGACTAAAAGATATACAAACCAGTTATCTATGAATACATCATTCTGCGCAATTTATATTTTAGATTACTAAACATATGAAGATCACTATAAACCCTGTGAACACCCAGAATTCTAAAGCTTTTTATGTAACTTTTCATCTTGCAATACTACTTGAACTTAAGAATATCATTTTATTAAACTGAGTACAGTGTGTGTGTATATATATTTATATATAGAATTGAGGGAAGAAGGAAAAGAGAATTCTTTAGGAGACAAATGTTAAAGGATTGTAAATAAAATTTTAAGAGAAACCTGAAAGTGTATACAAATAATGTAAGTGAAAAAGTAGCTAAGTTCCAAAAAATTGTACTTATTTAAAAAAATAATAACTGTTTTTCCCTTTTCAAATGTCTTCTTTCATTTATATCTTTCTCTGTTTATTGTATTTTTATATACTATACTTGTTTTCATATTTTTGACAATTCAGAGTGTGTATTAGTTGCTTTTGTTCTGTAGAAACAAACACTATGGAATATTAATTATTACTTGTTTTCCACATATCTGTGTTCCATTTTCCTACTTCTGTAAGAACACTTAGGCATGAGGATTAGTTTTATTCATTAATGAGTATTATTTCATCTTTGTGGAATTTATTCAAAGCATTTACCTGAAACAATTTAAAATAATGTATACAATGTATAACAGAACCAAACCTTTAACAGAGATTAAATTTTGTACATCAGATTCACTTAACTTCCAAAATGTGTAAAAGAACATATCACTTGATCTGGACTGCACTCTCTCTCTCTCTTAACTTTATCTTATAAATAAATAATAATAGTAAATAGTTGGTGTTAAAACAGAAAAAAATAGTGTGCTATTAATCCTTACCCTAATTCTGATCTGTAAATGACTCTTATAAAACTGATAAAAATTACACTTTACCAACTTAATCTAATTCACAATAAGTTATTGTTCATGCAACTTGATAATATAAATACCATCTCAACCACCACTGTGTCTGACATGTATTCTAACTTTCCTGATAATCTCTGGTATTAAGCAAAAGGCCTCTCTGGCAATGGTTATAGTAGAGGTAGTGTAGTACTTATTGGCATACATACTTCTTTGCTTTCACTCATGAGTTCTTAAAAGTTAATGAAAAAGAGGTATAAAAAATTAGGTATAAATCATAGCTTAGTTTAGCTCAACTCAGTAGCTCAAAGGAACTACGAGTCAGATACTACAATCATATTACAGCTTTTTTAAACCCACCTTTACAAGCCGTCTCTGCATGTACCCAGTTTCAGCTGTTTTCACAGCAGTGTCTACTAATCCTAGAAAAATAAAAGACATTTCAATACAGTTTAGTGAAAAATATTACTAAACATGACAGAAAGTAACAGCAAAAGTATGAAGAGAAATTAAACTTTGCTGCTCATTTTAAAGGAGTGTTTATAAACCTAAAGATAATAGACATTCTGATGTACACTAATGTTTTTAAGTTATGTTTAATATGAAACTTAGTTAACTTATTTTTATTCCAAGAAAAGAAATGAGAACAAGCATTAACATTTTAAAATGTTATCTTTTTTATCTGAACTATTTTTGTAGCTTAGTTCTCCAGGACTTTTATAAAATCTTCAATCTAAACTAAACAGTTGCTGTCCATTTTACCTTTGTTTGTTCAAGAATTAACTTGATCATGGCATAACAGTGATTCTAAATTAACCAATCAGAACAGGTTGACATGTTTGCCTCTGTCAATATTTTAAAAGTGTATATCCAGCTCTCTGAATAACTGTGTTCAAACATAGCTATGCACTGACAAAAAATATCATAAGTTATTGAGCTTCGGATTCAGATGATTGATTACTCTGATAGAAAGTAATTACATTTAAATGTAAATAATTTTTCATTATGACAAATAAAAACAACACAAACATTAGTTTTACATTGTTTAATCTGTTCAAACGAGATTATTTCATTCAAGGATTAAGCTTCAGTAAAATAAACATTATAAAAACCTTCTCTGCCTCCCATTGTATGGAAAAAAAATTCTGTTGGTGTCAGACCAGAATAGAAGCTGTTTTCAACAAATCCTTTTGCATCAGGAGTTTTTGCTAAAAAGACAAAAAAATTAATTCAAGGCTTTAAATCTGTTAGCTGTTGTTTCATATTCTAAATAATACTGTTACCCCAAAGTTTTGTTTTCAAAAATAAGACAATAGCTTTGGTGTATAAAATTACAAAAAGTAGGGAAAAGCACACATTAACCCTTTCCAGATGGGTCAAAGGCCATGTCATCACATTTGTTGACCCACATTCAAAACTTTATTGAACTACAATTTCATGAATTTATGTCAATAAGTTTGGTATCTAACTTATTGACATAATTCAAACTTTAGTATTATACCTTACTCAATTTCTTAAATTAAAAGTAACACAGTTAAACATCAACTTTTGTGTGTAACATGGTATATTGAATGCAGCACTGGTTCAAATTAGATGTTTGTGATGTCAAAATACTAAGTCTATAGTTTCATACGATTTAGGAACTCAAACTACCGATACTGAGAAGCTAGAATATAAAACAAGTCTCTTATCTTTTCAATTTGCTAAGATACTGCTCATGTAATAAATCAAACACAGTGGCATCCCACCCACCTCTTTCCATTTTTGGAAATGCTCCCTTATATACAATTACTTCTATATATATGACATGAATAACCAATCAAATGCTCAGAATGTCCCCCTAGTGGCTTCAAGAAGGTGGGGTGCATCTTTAACCTGCTCAAAATTTCATATTTTTTAGACTAAAATACATCTTAGTTACTAAGCTTCATAAATTATAGTGGAAATCTGTGTATTATTGTAAACTATAACAAGCACAAAATGGTTATGAGGTCAGTCCCATGGACCGAGCCCGTGCTGAAAAAAAGAAAAAAAAAAGAGTTAAATCATACAGTATTTCACATTAACCCTATCGCCATGGGTATCCTTTACTGTACATGACACAAGGTTTTAGCATCTTACATTCAAAATTTTATTAAACAACTTTTGTTTATATTATAACAATTATTACAACATAAAATCTTAGCTAATAATCTATATTTTAATACTATACAAGTTTTAAGTTCTTAATTCTATAAAGCAATATTTTAAAAAATCCAGAATTTCCCCTAGTGTAACAAACATGAGACATTTTCTCTAGGTATGTTCTCTATTTTATATGTCACCCCCCTGAATATGTGCAAAATGTAATGTAAATTACTCACTATAAAATCGTTTTTGTTCAGACAAACCTTAAACTTTATAGCCTTCAATTTTGTTTGGTTACAGAGCTATCAAATAGAAAATAAGTTCTCTATTACGTTTAATTATATATTACCTATAACCAATAAAAAGTCAAGATTTTCATCTATCAAATGACGTATTGTATAATATTGTCTTCTGAACAGATAATTGTTGATTTCATTCAGAGTGCAAATATTTTCCCATGGGAAAGCACAAGCACTAGCTTTGATGAATTTGTAATGGTTATTGTCGCATAGTTAGAAAACCAGGAAAAATTTGAGAGTTAGGGGATATTGTCTACTTTTTGCATGTTATTAGAATATGTTTTTTGCATAAATTAAATGAAAATTACTTGGTGTGTTACTACCATTAGTATAAAAAGTAGGCTTAACTGTCATCGACAATTGAGAGCAAGAAAAAAAAGAAGATTTGGTAAGTACTTTATTTCTTGTTTTTCATATTAATTCTTTATTTCTTATTATAAAAGTAACTAAAATCTAAAAATACAGATTTTTTTAAAGTTATATAAGACTAGATTAGGTAAAATAAGTAATAATAATAATATAATTAAAATGTTTCACTAGGCACTCACGCAAGAAGCTCATAGTAGCTCGTGGGTTATGTAATTTGATAGCGTAATGTGACCTGCACGTTCTCCGAGTGATTTACAACTTATAATGGTGCGGATAGTAGTTAAGACATGGTTTAACCCTTCCATTACAGGCTGGGTGGATTCCACCCAACTCATAACCAGGAAAGTATCTATGAGAGTAATTGTTGAATAATTTTTGGAAAATTTTGCAGATTATTGGTAAACATTATAAGGATATCATACACAAAATATCTGGTTTTTGAATTATGTTTTAAGATTTTTTAATTAAAGATTTGGTTGTGAATTTTTTCTTTCTGAATGTTGACAATCCAACATACAAAGTAATTTTGATTTTAAGATTAAAAACACTTCTTTATCTGAAATTTGTCAAGTTTCATTTGCGTAATCTCTACATCCTTCTAGATAATCAAACCTTTTTTAAAATAAAACTTTATATTTAATCTGTTATTTTATCAATATTAATTCCATATGGTGTTGATTGATTTGACTGACCTCATAACCATCACAAAAATTAGGAAATAAATCTAAGCTACCTTTTCGTTCTTGAATAACTGCAAATTGTAATAGGAAACCACAAATGTTTATTCCAAATAGCTTAAATCTTTTAACAGTATAAATCTATTTATATTTATTAATTTTTGTTCTATCCACGTTTGAACAGTGTATGACTAAAAATACCCCAACAGAAGTTGAAAATTACATGGTGCACGTACATCAACATGACCCTATCAAAACAGCATAATGCAGAAACTTATGGCACATATACCCCATGAAGATTTTATATTTTTTTTCTTTCATTATCTTGCCTAACAATTTTCTATTTTCAGGATTTTAGTTACTCATATAATAATAAATAGTTAAAACAAATGAACAATAAAAAAAACTCATAATTAAATATCAAACATTTTTATTTTTCAGTAAAGATTTATATTTTATTTAGTTTTTGTAACGTAATGTTATATTAAATTTTTCCAGGTTGTAGGTAAGTAATCAAAGTATAATGAAAATAAAGGTTGCAAAATAAAATGTATAGTATTGTTAGTAGTGATTACAAAATTTCAAAGTACTTATGGTCAGAGTTTACGCTCTCACCTTTTCACACTTATTTTCTGTAGTTATTTTATTGCTAGTATACGAGTTAGAAATTAGAAGAACCAAAGCGAATAGTACTCTGTTCTTTTCAATACGGACAGTAAAGTTTCAAATAAATCTGAGAGTTTCTTCTAATCTTTTTTACACCTATTTCCAATTGTTTTTCTACCGTCACCGGTTGAAGTAGAAACCTGCCGAAAATAAAGCAATGAATCACCGTTGCTATTTAGTTGTTACCGTACTTTGAGTACTTTAACACCATCAATATCAAATAAGTTCATGCAGAACAATTCCCAGAATTTTCCCCGCATTGAAAACACAGTGGGATAGGATATATCAACTTGTTGACAGTATAATGACAGATTTTTAGGATTGTCTAAAGTATTATAAAACGTTTATGACTTTGTAGAAAGTCTGGGCTGATCCAATAAGTCAAAAAGTGAAAATATCCTACAGAAACTATTCAGATCGCTACTCTGAGAACACGTGTGATAGAATTTGCAAGTTTCTTTACAATACAGTGGTTGCAACAAGAATTGTCTAAAGTACTATATATAATTGAGAGAAAGTATTTATGATATGGCTCTATACAAAGTATAAAGTTGTATCCTATACAATAAACTTGCTAGTTATCTTACTTGGTGGTTGGGAGTTAGTTGGTATAGGTGTAAATGTGTATAAATGCTTACATACATCCTGTTTCCTTTATTACCAAGCTTACACAGTAACCAATAAATATGTAGTTTCCAGTAATATAAATATGGCTCATTTTGGTTGGGCTAGTATTCTTGGCTTAGCCTTCTTGATTGTAACTTGAGAAACAAATTATTCACCAGCAAACAGCAAATTCAACCAGGTGTTTATGTAAAGATGTACCTTTTCATTTGTTAAGATCAGTTGATCAGTAATAAATTTATTTCTTAGACTTTCACAAATTACATAAATATACTTTTCCTGAATTGCCAAGTCTTTAGTTTTCTATAATTTGTTTTTATTCTACCTCAATGTAAACGAGTAGAAAAATGACACAAGTTTTTACTTTGTAAAATACAGTAACATATTGGCTACCATACATTACATATATATAACTAATATTTTCAAATAATTACTTAAATGTCAATTACTTTTCTTCAACTAACTGCTAAGGTAAGTATAAAATTTTCTTGTTTTTTATCTATATCTTTTACTTGTTGTCATATATTTTTTCAATAAAATTAACTAAAATGTAAAAAGTTAGAAACTTAGCAGGTTAGATAACACAACATAAATGAAAAACAATTTCTCCTTGAGAAATGCATGTGGTCCACCTTGTGCTGTCTTCGTTTTATGTGATTTTAGAGTTTGTTTACCTAAAGCTTTACACACTCTCAATGAGTGACTTATTGCTTTGTTACAGTAGTCAAATACAGTTCAAAGAACAATAAAATAAAAAAATTAAATGAAAGTAGTTGTGAATAAATAACTTTTTGTTATCTGTTACAATCTGCAGTCATCCTAGGAAAAAAATGTGTTTGCAACAGTTTGTTTTAGGCTAGATAAAATGAAATAAAGTATAAAGTTTACCAAAAACTTTTGATATTCACTTAGGAGGTTCTAGGGGTTATGCAAACAAAATATAAAACTGTTGGATAAAAAAAAAACAATCATCTTGCACTCAGATTAACTCAGTAAAGTCTTCAGAATTTACAAAAAAAAATTTCAGTCAGACAATTTATAAAAAAAAATTTGGTTTTTTGGTGTACAACACACTTGTGATGTTTACTAATAGGCTTGCCAAATTTTGTGAAGAAACAATTGGTAAATTCAGAGTTATAGTATGTCTGTGGTTCATGGTGGTTACAAGGTTAGTCAAATTGCATCCACCTGGATGAACAGAGTTATCGTAAATTACAAGATGTGCAGAAACTGTTATGGAGATATACCAATTGGACCCCAACTTCACAACATAATCCAAAAAACAAAGTGTTAATGAGTTCAATGATGCTGTGTCTATGCCAATTCCTCAGTTCTTTCCAAGTCACATTTTACTATACTAGTTCTCTATTATTTTTCTAGCCTGAGAAAAAGCTGAAGAAGACGAAGAAAAAAAAGACTGGTATTCATTAAACAAAGTTTTTCAATTCCCAAGTTTACAACATGTAATGAGGAAAGTTTAAAGAAAAAGAAAAAAATTCTTACAATGTCTCTCAAAATGGGGAAGTGATCTGTCTTCAAAACCATTAGGCACTCTTTTACCACTGATGGCTTGTTGACCAACACAGGCAATCATCTGACTGATGTTGATAAATGAACCTGTTAAATCAAATCATGGTCTTTAATTAGTGAGAGGAGCAAATCTACATCAATTATAGGTACCACTTAAAATTTAATCCACAGTTAGTGAGATGCAAGTCCTAAATGTTTCTTTCTTAACCTATTAACTGCAGCAGGAACAGCTCAGTTGCCATTTTCTGACTCACAGATAAAACTGAGTTGCCATCAATCACAATAAAACGGTAATTTTCGTCATTTGCATAGAGTTATAGTTATATATGTGTGCGACTGACGAATATTTCCGTCATCCGCAGTTAATGGATTAATTTCTATATTTTACTTAAGATTCTTTTTTAAAAATCTAAGCAAGATGTTTTACTTTTGAGCTTACAAGATAATCTTAACACTTAAATTAACCACTAAACACCCACCTTTAGACCCACACAGTGCCATGATCAATGGACTGTTAGTTTTGTGCAACTCCTTTAAACAAGCTTTACCAGCATGGTCACGAATCACAGACAACTCCTTTAATATAACTGCCTGTAACAGATAGGTTCAATATAATTTACTTATTATAAAATAAAAACAAAAAACAATCTTATGTGGAAAAGGTTAAAAAGCTGTAGATTTCTTTATAGCTATAGTTCACTATATCACTTTTGAAAGTAACATATTTTATTCTGATATTCTGTTTTACTTCATCTTATTTCCTACATTTTACTTTTATTATTAACTAATAGTTTCCTTAATCCTTTTAGCTTATATTTTGAGCTCCTTCGTAATTCAATTAATTAGTTTTTATAAAAAAAAAAAATACAAAACATACTTTATTTCTTTTTTTGCAGTCAATTCATTTATTTTTGCAAATCAGATTAAATTTTTTCTAAGACATTTATACAAATTACAAAATTCTAAACTGATGTATACATGTGTCAAGTTAATCACACAGCAGATGATCCAATCATACACAAAATATACAGAGATGAATTCCACCACAAAACTTGACCTAATTTCACATATATACATAACAAAGAGTATACTGAGTAGCATATTAAATGAAAAAATTTGTTTATAAGTGTATTATGGCACAAAGCTACTAAATATATCTATGACATAATATAAAACATATACAAAAACACTTAGTACAATGTGCATGCTGATTACAATGATGTCTTTCAAACTAAAAGATATAAATTCTAACTTCTATAATTAAACCAAATTCTCTCTTAAATAATGTTATTTCACCAAGTAGACTACTAATAATAAAGGATTAGGTACATTTTTTAAGTGATAAGAGTAAAATTCCTGGAAATATTAGATGTAGCAGCACATGACAAATTTCAATTTAAGAACTGATTATGCCTATGATTAACTGATTATCTGTGAAAATATTGATAACTTGTTCAAGACAATAAAGAATAGCGTTTATTGAGTCATGAATTAACCACATTAACCAACCAATTACAGCAGTGATTCTATTATCAGTCATAGCTGTGTAATCATGGTCAGTAGTGATTCTTCTATTATCAGTCATAGCTGTGTAATAATTGTTGGTAGTGATTCTTCTATTATCAGTCATAGCTGTGTAATCATTGTTGGTAGTGATTCTACTATTATCAGTCATAGCTGTGTAATCATTGTTGGTAGTGATTCTCGGTAGTGATTCTATTATTATCAGTCATCGCTGTGTAATCATTGTTCGTAGTGATTCTTCTATTATCAGTCATAGCTGTGTAATCATTGTTCGTAGTGATTCTTCTATTATCAGTCATAGCTGTGTAATCATTGTTCGTAGTGATTCTTCTATTATCAGTCATAGCTGTGTAATCATTGTTCGTAGTGATTCTTCTATTATCAGTCATAGCTGTGTAATCATTGTTGGTAGTGATTCTTCTATTATCAGTCATAGCTGTGTAATCATGGTCAGTAGTGATTCTTCTATTATCAGTCATAGCTGTGTAATCATTGTTTGTAGTGATTCTTCTATTATCAGTCATAGCTGTGTAATCATGGTCAGTAGTAATTCTTCTATTATCAGTCATAGCTGTGTAATCATGGTCGGTAGTGATTCTTCTATTATCAATCATAGCTGTGTATTCATATAATCAGTAGTAATTCTATTATTATAAGTCACAGCTATGTAATCACACAATCATTAGTGATCCATAAACTTTACATACCTCTAATGTTTCTTCCTCTGTACATCCTGGCTGAGTCTGGAGTTTTCCTTCTTTAAGACACTGAATGTATTCTTCACACTTACTGTAGCTGTAAGTATACAAGCATGTGGTATTTAAAAAAATTATAATAAAACTAAATATTTTAAATATTAAAAAAGTGTTTATTGATTCACAGAAAATAAGTCTACACACTTAAACTTAAGAAATGAACAACTCAATTTATTTTGAGTTGTATCCACCCACCATGAAGCCTTTTCTTGTCTTTATTTTATAATAATTCTTACACAAACATCATAAGGGGTTTATTTAAAAAAAATACATATAATAAAGTTTCTCTACAACATACTAGGCCAAATTCATGATATAAATTTAACAGTTTGTACTAAACCTATCCTCTTTCTTGTCAACAATATTACTTACTTAACCCAATGGAAACATTAAGTTCATAAGCACTACAAAACCTTCTCTTCATATCAACAGTGTAATTTACCAGATTGCTATAACAATATATTATGTCCTTCTCTTTAGATCAGTCAATATGACTTAACTATCTGCTATGATAAGGTTATACTCATAAATCTCTTACATGAAGCCCTTCTCCTCAGATCAAACAACATGACTATACATTATATATTCTGCCATCAAACAACTAGCATACATTAAGCTAAGCTCAGGTGTAAGAATATCAAGAATAATTAATACAATCTAGTACAGAAAAAAGAAATGTTACCTATTAATTCACACTAGTAGGATACAGTAAGATCTTGAAATTATAAAAGGTTTGAGGCTATGTCCAAATTAAGACTGATTTTATCAGAAAAACTAGAGATAATCATTTTGAGTTTATAATGAATTATGTATTATTTAAATCTTCCTCCTTGTTGATTTTTTGTATATCCCTTTTTATTTCACAACTTATGTACAACTGTTAATAGAATTTCTTGTAAAGAAGACATCGTCTTCTAGGTTGGGTAAAATTTCTAGTGGTATTAGATTGGTAACATTCTATTGGTTACTACATTTTATCAATATCCATATTGGTATTTGGAAAATCAATATTTGTCAACCTCTAACTATAACATTTGTCTTTTATATAGAATGTATAGTTGGGATATGCTAGACTATATGTTTTCTACTGTTATAGTTTCTATTTGTCAAAAAGGACTCTTAAGAAGAAAAGACTAAACTAATATAACCTTTGTCTTTTAAAGACACCTAGTTGTATAAAGGCTACATATAATTCATTTTTATCTTTTATAGCAAACTCCTAGTAGGGGCAAATTAAGCTAGGCTTAATAGTAATCATTTAATAAAAAAAAGGCCTCTAAAAGAGAGAGAGAGAGAACTGTACACAAAATTTTTGCCATTTAAAGAGGATCCCAAGTAAAAACAGACTATCTGGACATAACATAATATTTATCTTTTGATGTTTCTCTTCAAAATGACATCTTGTAGACACAGATCAAATTACAAAAAAATATACACATATTTTAAAAGGCATTTAAGGAAGGGCCAAAATGAAGTAAATATAATATTTGTTCTTTTTATATACAAGTGTTAAAGAAAAACTGTGGGTTGAGACCTCATTCTAACTTTAAAGCACACATGGAGTTGAAGACTTATCAGTCAAAATACAGAAAGACTCATATTTTGCAAACTTATGAAAATAATGATTTTCACATACCCATCATCCAATAACTTTTGCTTTGCCTTCAGAAGACCAGTTCCTGGTGTTACATCTCCAATTCCAATGGAGAATCCTCGATTTGCTAACAGAAGAATAAAACTCAGCATCAACACACACACACACACACACACACTTCCAAGTAATGATAACTTTCTCAGATCTGATGCTGAATTTTCTAAAAAACAGTTGAAAAGTAGCACAAGCAAAATAAAGGAATACAAATATGAATTTAAATTTTTTATAAGATATTGTCACTTCCATTATATTACCAAACTGAACTTAAATGTTTAAATAGCTGAACTTCAAAATTGTGTGCACTTAACTGCAGAAAATTTTGTCCTACTTAATAACTTAAGATTAAATGTTTATAAAGTACACATTGGTACAAATTATATCCACGAGTAAGAAACTTAATATAAGGCATATCCAACTGATATTACAAAATGCTTATAAACAATTCAACTAAACATAATATAAAATACACCTGCTGTTCAGGTTGGTAATCTTACCAAGATAAAATGAAGAAATGCGACCTACACGCCACATAGCACTGGCAGCGTAGGATTCGCCGTAGTCTCGTAGCAAGATATAGAAGATATTATTTTTGGACCCAGATCCTAATGTTCCCTTGTCCAAAGAACCAGCCAACAATTCACTATTTCTGATTAGTACAACTAGATAAAAACAAACAGAACATTTTATCTTCTGAAAAAAGATTTAACTAAATTATATATGAAATTTTGTTTTCTCTAAAGTTGACTATATTTCAATCTCAGAAGAATTAACAATTAGTTTTAATATTGAACCTGCATTAACTAAATTTTTAGAAAGCATTTTCTATGCTAAACACAAACAGATCAGAATGGGCACCTCAGAGAAGACTACATATCTTATTCTACCTATTAACTCTTTCAATATCGCATATACATACATCTCCCTTTTCTAAAGGTATTCCTTTCAACCTTTCCAAAGTTGAAACCATTGTAAAATTTGATAATAAGAAACCTAGATGATGCCAAAACCTCAGCAAAACTTTGTGTATTTGATACTGTGTTAAACTTGTAATAAAGTTTTTTTGTTAGTCATTGAAGCTGTCTCTAGTGTCAAGTTTCAGATAAGTAATGAATGATCAAAACATTTTTGTTTTACTGTATGTCTAAAAACAAAGATGGCATTAGGATTTGTTTATCTATAAATATGACAGTGAGAGTTAATATGGTTTGCAAATATTAGATTCTGCAATTCCTTTATTTACTCTTTCACTAACATCTTACTTTTTATGACAGATATTTCTATATGTCATCTTTTCAACATCTTGCTTTTTGTCAGAAAGATTTCTATATTTTATCTTATACCAACACCTTTTTATGATACTGTTTTACTTTTTACCAACAACTTGCCATTTGACATTTGTTCATCTTCCATTAAAACCTTACTTTTTCTTTTTTGATTAAAAAGGTCTGTTACTTATATATCTGTTCATTTTAGTGAAATACATATTAATCCAAATATAATGGATATTATTGGTAAAAGCTATTTAAATGAGGAACTGTGAAAAGGAGTCAATGATGAGCAAACTTAACCATAAAGATGTCCGAGTTTGCTACAAATCTCTACATTACTTTATCAAAGATATGGCATATCAATATTTATGTGCAAAAATAATTATGTAATTCCCTAACCAATATTTAAAATGTTTTCTATAAATACACCTTATATGCAAGCTTTGCAAAGAAGATAGAAATTGAAAAAGCTGGTATACTTACAGGAATCATTTATACACATCTCTTCTCCAGATGTATAAGCTTTTCCCTTTGCTCTCAGACAGGCTTTAACTGGACAGGCTTTATTTGGTCGTATTATCAGGCTGAAAATCTGCTTTCCAGTCCATAATACTACTGGCTACAATATTAATATATTAACAACAACAACAAAATGCTAAATGAAACCATTTGTTGCTACTGACTACAATATTAGTATTTTAACAACAACAAAAAAACTTTAAATGACAACAATTTGTTGCTACTGGCTATAAAACTTGTATATTAACAAAAATTATTGATAAATACACAGGTGCCACACAGGCTAAACTAAGCAGAGGAACAGCTGAAGGGGTATGGGGAGGGGCTGTAAGTTAGGTTTTCTGTTCAGACTATAAGCTTCCTTGAGAGCTTTTGACTAAGATTTGAAGAAATAAATGGATCATTTGTATTATTACACCACGAGTATGTCGCATAAGTCTGAATTAAACTAAATCAAATGAATTACCTTTGACACTTTTATGAATTGTCAGCATGCACTTTAGCTTGGTTACTTGACAAACAGGGGTACTTGTATTGTATTCCTGTATGCATTATAAAATAAACAATGAAATGCTATGTCATAAACTATGAGAAAAGTGGCTGTTCATTCTGAAGTGCAATTGATGGTGTATAGGTCCTATCTGAAGTTCAACTGATGATGTATAGGTCCTATCTGAAGTTCAACTGATGGTGTATAGGTCCTATAGCTCTGGATTGGGTTTCGATTCAAGTGACACATTGCCACATGTTTAAGCAACTTAATTTTATCCAATACTTTAAATTAACCTTAGTCAAAATACAGAGATCCACACAGTGGTGCCTATGGTTAAACAACAATCATCTGTTGTTATATGAAGATTTTGTATTAGAAATAGACAAGCCATCCATTCTAAAGACAAACACTTCATTAATAAATAGAAACAATTAGAAATATAAAATACTGATATTAATAAATAAAAAAGTAAATACATTTACAGATTATTACAAAACAACTGCTGATGAGGTTAATTCTTCAATTTACTGGTCAGTCAGATGTTCCACCATTCATTCTATGGTGGAACATCAGTAGAGAAATTTAATAAAAGGTTTGTTTGAATAATATTTATTTCATGCTTGGGAGTTAATGTATTTTATAAATATTTTATGGACATTTTAATAATTTTTAGTTATTTCATATATTCATATTATTTTGCTATATACCCTAGACTATGACATACTTGAGGTGGGTATTTAATACTTCACTGATAACACACACTGACTTGCAACTTTTACATTAGGACTGGACCCCATTTATCTACAATAAGAGTATCATAGAATCCACAATTTGTCAGGTGTTGTTTGATTGTAGTCCATTTGTTAAAGGAATACAATCTGCATTTGATACACAATGTCAGCAATGAATTACTGTAGCAAATTTAACATTCATTCCCCAGATGGCCAATCTGATTGAAATCTGATAATTTTGTTGTGTACAAAAAATCATTTACATGCTCTTCACACTAATTTTCATTATAGATGCATGACAGATTGATACCTTATTACCTTGAAATAGTCTGTCAGCATAGCAATGTTCATTGTGGGCGAGCTTGACTGGTAAAAGCATTCATGCATACTGTTGATTTTATTTGCTCTTCTGAGGAAATAAAAGAATCCATGCCAATACACCACCTACAGCATCTTATATTGTTAAAACAAAACAAGCAAGATCACGTGTCTTGTATCGTATTCTCCATATTTCTTCAGCATAGAAAAGGGTTGGAGATACCACTAAATAGACCACATCATATGCTCCTAGTCATTTATGTAGTAAAATTTACAATTTAAAACTGTAGCTGTGCTTTCTTTCTTCTTACTCTGTGATAAGCAGTTTCCATACTGGTTAACAGCACCTATACAACATTTTTTGTCCTTCAAATAGTAATGTTAGTGAGTCAAATCCTGACCAATGTTGTAGGTACTGATCACACTCAACAAACTTTTATGTCTAATGCACTCTACAGTCATCTTTTCCTTCAGTCTGTGACCAGCAGTAACTAGCCACAGTTTCACTTGGTTACAGTCATACTATCTTTCATTTGTAATTGCTCACAGGCCCTGATGACAGACATCTGTAAATTGGATCAAATAAATTGTCTCCAATTATGATACTCCTGATAGCTGGGCACCTATAGTATGCCTTTCTGAAGGTTGAAGAGACTTTTATTCCTGGCAGCCTACTAATTGTAATATCACTACATCTCTGATTTACACAGCTCAAGAAATCACCTGATACACCACAAGAATAACCTATGCAAATAATTAAGTATTCAACAAATCTGTAAGGAGTTTCGATAAAGCAGTCAGTCAATGAAAGAGTACAAATATACATATTTGATGAAAAAGAAGTTAAAAGCCAATTTTAAAATACCTATATTTACTGTTCTGCTTTCACTGAAACCTAGAGAAATATCTGGGTTGAAAGTATGGCAAATCAAAATAATTAAACCAATCTGGTTTTGCAATCTGATGAAACAATGTTCAATTTTTAAGCAATTATATCTGATCAAACATGATCTCACCTTCTGAATGGCAGGAGGTGGAAGATCAATTTTGGTGTTGATATCCTTTCCAGCCAAGATATAGGAAATGAGTTGACAAGCTTTCGTTCTGTCTAGAAACGTGTCTTTCTGAGTGAGGAGGTAAGTCCCTAATGAAACAAAACTAGACAGTATATACACCAGTTCAGTAACTCACTTCCTGTACTTTCAGTTAGCTTAAAAATAACTTTTAGCTATTTTCAAGAACAAATTTCCTCATTTTCCCTTTAATAAGTGTCACAGCTATGTTTTCACTCTGGAATTACTAATTAGAAAGCTTTGAAAACATATACAAGACTTTTAAAATTTCTCACTCATTCTTTTGAATCCCTTTAACTTTATTATTGAGATGACACTCATTAATAAGACTATGTATGGGACAGTTCTCATGAAAAGCTCGTTAACATAATTTTCTTAATATTTTCCAAGAAAGACTTCTGCTTATTAAAATTTTGTGTGTAAAAAAATAAACAACAGAGCAAATTAAGATAGCTTTTATCAACTTAAAAAAAAAACATGAATATACTTTGAGAAAAATAGTGAATAACTTTACCAAATCTGCAATTAATTTTACTGTTAGCAAAATTCTGGGTGTAAAATAGTAAAAGCAACTCCTTAAATACATTTTAACTAATTAGTGTGGTTGAAAGAATAACATACCATACCAGTTATAAAGTCCTGTATTGCAGCAATAAGAGGTTCCCCATTTCTTGGTGTTATAAGGTTGGCCTTTGTCTGTAATATAGCAGTCACTACTTATTTCACACAACTACCACTAGCTCATCACTCTTATATTATGTCTTATCCTATTATCTTCTTAAAATGTACTCTTAGAGGTACTTTATCTCAAGTAAATACTTTTTTACCATCAACAAGGTGAATAACTCACCCCCATAAGCACTAAAGCTTCAGCTCTAGCTTCTTCAGTCTGGGGAAGATGAAGATTCATCTCATCTCCATCAAAATCTGCATTATAAGGTGTACAGACACATTCATTAAACCGGAATGTACGATGTGGCATAACCTTGGCCTATAAGAAACGATGAAATAAGTACCTCAGTTCTTTACAAATGTAAAATTATTCATGTGGCATAACCTTGGCCTATAAGAAACGATGAAATAATTACCTCAGTTCTTTACAAATGTAAAATTATTCATGTGGCATAACCTTGGCCTATAAGAAACGATGAAATAAGTACCTCAGTTCTTTACAATTGTTAAAGATGACGTTATTATAATTAAGTGTTTTTACTAAAAATATGTTATTTATCTATTGTAGTTACTTGCACTCAAATTCTTAATAAATCGAGTGCAAAGTGATTTTCATTTTAAGTATAAATTACTTTTCTTCATCTTACAGTTTTCATACTTCATTTACGTAATCTCTAGAACCTCCTAAAACAATATCAAAAGTTTATTTAAGGTAAATGTTTTTTATATATTATTTTCCATTTTCTCTACCATATTACTAACTCAAGTTATCATCATCAACGTGCAATAAAATGATTAAGTTAGGAAATAGAAAAAAAAAAACATATCTTTTAATTTTTTGAGAATATCTTTAAAGATCTTTTGGTTATGCTTGTAATTTCAGATCTTTTCATATATAGTTAATTTTTAATGTTTTATTTTCCTTTCGTGTCCTTAGTATTCATCTCGACATAAGTCCCTCAGGACATGTTACAGTATCTCTGGCAGCAATGCGCAACCCTTCGGCAAAATTTTTATGGATCCCATAATATCGTAAGCCTTGAGAACTGGTTCACAGTATGATGTATACTTAAAAATGTTTAAACATTTCAATTAAGCATTTCAAAACATAAATAATACATAATTAACTCAAAATAAAAGTAAAACCTAAATACAATTTAGTTGCATCTCTAACTACAACATATATAGGTATGAAACAACCGTAAGTGCTATAGTCGATCAAGCAGCCAACAATACTATAGTCAGTTACATGTACTCCATGACAAAAACTGCACACAAATTTCAAAATAACCACTGTTAGATTATAGCTCTTTCTAATGACTATATACGTGCATATGTAATCTCTCCATGTAGGCTTTCAAGCTCATATCTGCTGAAGGTGGACATGGCACCTGTCAGGGGTTGACAAAATTTATTACTTGTTTCAACTGCATTCATTCAGAGAACTTTGAAATGTACATGTCAATAGGTTAAGTAAACATCTTATTGTCTAGATGTACATCTACACAACTGGAATTATATAATTGAAGATACAGAGTGCCAAAGCAGAGAATTTTCATAGTTCATTGGTTACATGACAATGCATCTCAAGTTTTAGGTAGTTTTTAAAGGTTTCCTTTGAAATAAAGGACTTAAAACTTAGATAACATAAAATTTTGAATCATAACATATATTATAATGTTAATTTCATTCATATACATTGACAGTAAAGGTGTTTAATTAAATTTTGAATGTAACACATTGACTTGTGCAGAAAAGTGTTTAAAGGGGTACCTGTTGCGAAAGGGTTACTATTCATATTTCAAGATATATATCAATAAAAATATCTTCATGTAAAAAAAAGCAGAATTTTGACTGATGATATAAGATGGTATAATAATACTATGGTACAAAAATAGTTAGACAATATATACAGCCTTTACAGTTTCACAATGCATCATAACATGGCAAACACTAAGCCTTACTTACCTGATGTGCCATTATGCTAAGTTTGTGCAATGAGGGCTGCCTGTTAAACAGAACAACATCTCCATCCAGCATGTGACGTTCTACTGTATCTCCAAGCTAGAAAAAAATATGTAAGTCAACTTTTCATTTATTTGATTAATATTACATACTGTAAATACAAAATATGCTTTTCTCTCTTTCCAGCATAGGAAACAATGCAAACCAACTTTTACTGTTAAAATGATGTTAGTTGACTATGTTTAGATTTGAATCATTTCTTCTTTCAAAAGTCATTTTTATGGTTTACATAAATGAAAGTTAAAATTATACAATCTATTGTTTCCTTATGAACTTCTGAGAATTGCCATCAATATCCCTCAAAAGATTATAACTTGTCCTTTGACCGTAAAGCCAGATAACAGGCTTTTTACAACACAATATCAAAATGAAAAATCAGACAAATCTAATGGTTTACTGCTAGAAAAACATTTAACTGGCAACTGATAATGAAGAAATGCATTTCAATCACAAAAAGTTAAAATTATTAACATTTCAACTTTATATTATCTAATCACTATATGCACCAATAACTTTGCAAAAGGATATTGCTATCCTTACAGAATAGTTCTATTATTTACACATGGAAATCTTAAAATTAAGACATTAGACAAAAATACATACTTTAAGCTCCTGAGCAATTTTTTGTCTGTTTCCATACTTCAAAAACCTAAAACAAAACATTTATACAAATGAGTACAAAATAATATAAATAATGATATTCTACAGGAGCAATTAGTTTTATGCTGGATAATAGAGTAAAACAACTGCTTTTTAACCCATTTTCTTTTCTTGCACACAAGAGGACAGGGATAACTGGTCAGTTCAATATAAAGTAGTGTGTTGTGAACAGGATAATTCTAAGTTTAAAGTTATTATAAAAACATGCACGTATGTGTGTTTAAAATATGTGTTCATATTAATTTATTGAAAACCACGAACATCACCAAGTCAAATTTAACTCCAAATTAAAAAATACTTGAATGGGAGGAACCCAAAATTAAAAATATAAGTATCAGATACAAGTGCCTGTTTTCTATTTTTACCAACTTACTTTTTAAGACTAGACCCACGTTGTTTGATGAAATTGGCTCCTGGATGAGCATCACAACCATTTATAACCAGTTTTTTCATTAACTGTATGTTTGCTTTGGTAACCTAGGAAATGATTTTTTTTTTATTGTAGCACAGGATAGATAAAAAATTGATTTTGAATAATTTATAAAATGTAATCAAATTCATCTCTCACTTACTTTTCAATCAGCATATCTAAACTTTAAACTCAGTTGAATGTATACAACACTTTAACTTTCATTCAGTTCTCTGCTTCGGTAACAATGAATATGTACAAAAACTTTTCCAATCAGTTTTTTACTTTGTACAGGGCACAAAAGTTTCCTAGTTTTCTGCTTGTATTTTTCAGTAAGCCATACATCATTGCAAGGTACATCATACACTTAAAATATAAAATTGTGTTTTGGATAGCCTTAATTCAACGGAATATATATTAAACATTTAAAATATCAAGTTCATTTTTAAGCTACAAGCTATGGACAAACAGAATATGTACATCAATCAATTTAAATATGTTGATTTTTAATCATATAGCTCTAAACCAACAGAATATTTATCACATGGTTAAAATGTCAATTGATTATTTAGACAGTAAGCTTTGAAACAACAAAATATATACACCATACAGTTAAAATGTCAAGTTGATTTTTATACATTAAACTCTGAACCAACAAAATATATACACCATTACAGTTAAAATGTCAAGTTTATTTTTAAACAAAAAGCTCTGGAAATAATTTTAAAAATGCAAAAGTGACACACACACACAGAAGTCGCAAAAAATGACTAATTGCAGCTAAACTGTGAATTTGTCATTAGTAAAATATATAGAAAAGTAAATAAGTTGTACAATACACTAGTATTTTGAATTTGTTTTAAATAGAGCAGTAAACCTAGGTTTAACTGTATGATTGTGAAATACTATTCCTAATGTCCTTTATTTCATCTTACAACTCAGCCAAGTTGTTTGTTTACCATTTGATTTTTTCAGGTTCCATTGCAGCTTAATAACATTCATATTGGGACTTAATAGCATTAAAACTATTGATATACATATATGTATATACATGTAGTTGTTGTTCACCTTGTACAGTTTACTCCACAAACAACAATAAATGTGAAACAGAAAGAATTTTAACCCTTTTAATTACCAGTTTATTTTCACCACTGAATACTTTATAAAAGCTAAAGCAATAGGAATTTACATATTCATAAAATCCATTTAACATTAATATACATATATTGTATGCTTTCAAACATAGTTACTGAGATTAGAAAGGCTGAAGTTTTTCTTGATTTGCATATATGTATATAAATACATAAAAGTATTCAAAAAATAGTTGTGCACAAAAATATGTTTCCAAGCCATTGAAAGAATAGCAGATGGTCAAAATAATTAATATTAAGATATCTAACAACCTATGTTTATAGATCTAACTAGCAATGGGCTGATTTTAGGCCTAAATGTATAAAAGGAAAACAAAATTAGCTTAATGCTTTGGAGCTTTAAATTCGATGACCAGAGAAGGTAAAAGCTTCATAATACTCACTCTTTCAGGATAAGTAAGGATCTTTGCTACATGTTCAGGTACTCCCACCTACAAACATTGAATTTTATCATTCTAACAGCTGTCCCACTAACGAAAAAACTTTGATATATCTCAAATCAAGAAGAATTTATTTCTGAAGGACTGTCAAGAGAATTTTACTTTTTTTGTAAGTAAGATAAAAATCACTCCAAATGTCTTTCTGCTAGAAAGAAATCTCAATAATTTATTCTTTTACACAAACAGATATTTGTTTTTTCACCAAATAAATATTGTTAATTCACAACAAACCAAATAAAAGTAGAATAATTAAATTTTATAGTTTTATTTGTAGCCAGTACTCTCAGACTACTTAAGAAGCTATTCCACAACATCCTTTACCTTGAAAACATTTTATACGTACAATTTCATAAAAATAATAGTGTTCTTCAGTTGTGTAACAAATTATTTTTTCACAATGCTATTATTTTGTCTTAAAATTTCAAACCTGACAACAAAATTCAAAAATTAAGATTAGTTTTGATTATACTTGTTAATATTCTCCCTCTGTGTTATAGATCTTACTATGAACACAAAGTTACATGTTTCGGTATGCAGCATTATAAATCTTAATTTAACATAAAATAATATTTCAGTATACAGTATTACAAATCTTACATTAACACAAAATAATGAATTTCGGTAAACAGTGTTATAAATCTTACATTAACATAACACTACATGTTTCACTAAACAGTTTTAATATGTCTTAGTATTAACATGAATCTACATATTTTAAAATAGCATACTCTGTTATTTCTATGTAGAAGTTTTTACCTGATCTATTTGTAAATTTGGATCTGGAGAAATTACTGTTCTGCCTGAAAAATCTACACGTTTTCCTGAGAGATTTCCACGAAAACGTCCATGTTTACCCTTCAGTCTCTGAACAAATCCTCTCGTAGGTTTCTTAGGCTATAAATCAAATCATAAGTATTGTAATACTTTAAGTACATACTGTGTTAATGATGAAATTTTAAAAATTTATATCAAAACTGATTGTTTCTGTTTTTTTCTTAATACACTTTATACAAAGTGATACTATTTTCATATGGGAAACACAATGCTAAATTTTCATGGTGCACATGGTGCTAAGTTTTCCTAGTACACACACTGCTAAGTTTTCATGGAACACATGGTGCTAAGTTTTCCTAGTATACACACACTGCTAAGTTTTCATGGAACACATGGTGTTAAGTTTTCATGATAGAACAATGCTAAGTTTTTCATGAGATATGCAGTGCTACCTATTATGTGGTATATACTGTACTAAATTTTTCACAGGTTGCACAGTGCTAAGTTTTTTTATGGTAAACACAATTCAAAGTTTTTTATAGGAAATGCAGTGCTAATTTTTCATGGTGCACACAATTCTAAGTTTTGTATGATGTAAGCAGTGCTCATTCTTACATGATTCACAGTGTTATGTTGCATATCTTGTTATTATGTTTCAGTACGCAGTAAAGCACTACTTATGTTAACACAAAACAACATATTTCACTGAACAAAATATTTTTTTACATTTTTTACCCAAAACATGTTGTACTAAACAATATTTTTTGTTTTTTTTTACTTTTGCACAGTGCAATAGTCCTAAACAGCATTTTTTTCTATTTCTACAAGTTACACATTGTTCTCAGTAATACTTTTATTTGTAAATGTTATTCATTATACCTTTTATTTTCCTATTTTATATATTGCATTGTATTGAACTAGATATTAAGAAGGTACTATTTACAGCACCAAATGTCTTTTTTCCTACATAATAAAATTATAAATAAACAAAAATGTCTATAAACAAATTCCACCTAAAACTTTTACCTGCATGTTCAGTGGAATCCCAGATGTTTCACTATTTATGTATAAAGCACACTGAAGCTGAAGGAAGTCCCAGTCTTCCTATAAAATATGAGAAACGTGTAAGTTGATATTTGGAAGCACATATGTAATAAGTTAAATTAAAATTCAAGAGAAGTTGAACTATAACTGCACCCCAACTAAAAATCTTTCAAAATGAAGATTCAATGTTGTGAGAGCTTTGTAGCTCTAATCATTGAAGTATTCTGATATTACTAAAACTAAACAACAAGTTTTTGGATCTTAAAACGTGATTATCTGACATTAATAAAACTAAACAAAAACTGTTTATACCTTACCTTATGATTATCTGATATTAATAAAAACTAAACAACCTGTTCTTAAATCTTAATTTATGATTATCTGATATTACTAGAACTAAAGTTTATGGACCTTAACTTCTAATTATCCAACACTATTAGAACTAAACAACAAGTTTTTGGACCTTACCTTATGATTATCTGATACTAGTAGAACTAAACAATAAGTTTTTGGACCTCACCTTATGATTATCTGATGTTAGTAGAACTAAACAACAAGTTTTGGACCTTAAGTTATGATTATCTGATATTACTGGAACTGAAGTTTATGGACCTTAACTTCTAATTATCCAACACTACTAGAACTAAACAACAAGTTTTTGGACCTTACCTTATGATTATCTGATACTATTAGAACTAAACAACAAGTTTTTGGA